GAGATTCGACATCACTTTCTATGAGATCATGTTCAACACGGTGATATTTCACTTGAATTTGTTGACACCGAACATCAATTAGCCGATACTATCACAAAACCCCTTGCGCTCGATCGTTTTCCAACTATTCGACGAAGCTTGGGTCTTATCAAGCTAATATAATTTTCAAAACTGTATTTTCTCTATATATTCCTTCTTCTGTTTACATTTCTATTTATTAAAAAAAACGGACGTCCGGTATGGACTGTCCAGCAAGGCAGAACTTTTTCTGCCTTTTGATTATCTTTTATCGGACGTTCGGTATATATAGCAGATGTCCGGTACTTGAAAATTCTAGTTTTTAAAACTCGTATTTTCCCCTTTTCTTCTCCATTTCTCTTTTCTCTTCTCTTCATCCATTATTCCTCTCTCTACTAACTCTCAAATTATCTCACAATCATCTCTCAAAAATCAATTTCCATTGGATCAAAATTTTGAATCTAGAATTCAAACTTTTTATAGATTTCTGTTCCAAAACGAGCCCTAGTTCTCTAATCTCACTCTCCCCTTTGTTTTTTGCTCAACATTTGGCTTTTACTCGACATATCTACCCTATTACAAATTATTCTAACACTCTAGATCTTCTATTCAAAGTCTCTCATCCAAAAATTTTGAAATCCCTCCCTTCAAGTCAATATTTTCGAACACACCTACTATTTGTGCAAAATGTTGACTTCAAACGATAAAGGGAAGAAGGTCAAGCAAACCTTCTAGAGTCCACCTCCATCTCCATCCTCTGACGAAGTAATGGACTTTGAAACCGAGACTACGCCGACGAATCCCCTAGCAAAGGCACCCATTCTTCTAGTTAAAAATGTCGATCTCATCTCTTTTTCCTTTGATGCCCCCGCATTTAGGATAGAAGAGCATGTCACGACTATAGGTTGGACCTCTATTTGCATAATTCACAAAAATGCATATCCGGATTTAATTCGCACCTTTTACACAAATATCACTAAAAATTTTCATCATTTTGAGGTCCATCTTCACGATGAAGCTTTTATTAAACCACGACCCACCGACACCATTAGTTCCAACACACTTAAACGAATGAAAATTATTAGAAAGGATGGACAATGGGTGTCTGAAACAAAGGGGTTTAATCCGACGTTGGGGCCTTCTACCCTACCGTTCGACGACGAAGACGTTGATGATGACGACGATGAGGATGCACCTCCTGCTGGTACCTCACGATCGAGAGCTTCCCAACCCGCTGGACAAAGACGTAACGAGGACCAGCTTGCACTTTTGAATGGACCGATCAACTCTCTTACTACGACGGTCGACGGGATGAGTGGTGAACTACGTCACATTCGAGCTCAACAGGACACGATTATCGCTCAACCGGCTGCCATGCAGGATCAGAAGAATGTCTTCTTTGCCGATATGCTTGCCAGGTTTCAACATCCTCCTCATCCGGCTTCGTAGTATTTTACTTTATGTAATATAA